CCGTGTCAGCCACCAGCTAAGAAAATGTCCCTGTAATCTTCCTGTGACAGAAGAGAAATATTTTTAAGAGCCTTCAAAAATCAGAAAACAAGAAATAATATTTTACTTGAGTGGTTTGGGTTGGAATGGACCTTAAAGATCATCTAGTTCCAACTCCTGCCATGGGTAGGAACACTTTTCACTAGAGCAGGTTGCTCCGAGCCCCATCCAATCTGGCTTTTGACACATACCAGTATAGGACATCTGCAGCTTCTCTGGGCAACATATTCCAGTGCCTCACCATCCCCACAGTAAAGAATATCTTCCCAATATCTAATCTAAACCTGTCCTCTTTCAGTTTAAAGCCATTAGGCCTTGTTCTATCACTACACAGCCTTCCAAGAAGTTCCTTTCCAGCTTTCTTGTATGCCTCCTTTAGGCATTACTATCCCTGTAAAGCAGTAGTATTGGAGTCTACAGTAAATTCTTCAGCACAGAAATTCCATTTGTCCAAAAAAGCACCTTTTTTTTTTTTTTTTTGCATAAGACTTAGCGCAAACCACTTACTTCCAGATCACAGAGGGTTAAACACAGAAAACTATAAAAGGTACTGTTGGGATTACCTTCTGCAAATAAACACAAGGAGAAACCAAATCCCCTAATTCTGAACATTTGCAAGTTCTTGGTTAAGAGGAGCATGGTGTAATAATGTGTATGCCATCTCTTTATTCACTCTGCTGTGCTTTAGGAAGCACTTGAGTTTTATTTGTACATTTCGCACTCTTCTTATGATGCAGTGAATTAATGCTCCTTGCATTTCCTGATGGAAGACATTCTGTGTGATCACCAATGTCTTCAGGCACTGAGCTGCAGCAGCACATATCCAGAAAGATGCCTGTAGCTGTAGAAGGTTTGGATTGGGCTGTTTGGTTTACTTTTGACAAAGTAGAAAGGTTTTATATAAAGCACCTGCAGCACAACAGAGTGCACATTGCATACGCAGATTTATAAAGGGCAGTGAGACTTTGGAAAACAAACAAATAAAATCCAAACAAATAAAATCCAAAACAAATCCTCTTGAAACAGGAGGCTCATGTTAAAAAATTCAGTCAGCACAGGCAGCAACTTAAACAATAATTTTTTTTGTTTCCTAATTAATGGTTTTAATTCCCGTGTACTCTTGCACTATTTTCTTTCAACAAAGAAACAGATGTGCTGCATAGGTAGGCAATAGAAAGTGCACAGATTTTATTTACATACTTCAGCAAACTACTTTTTCTCAGCTGCCATCCTATGTGTTTGGCCAGCATCCACTGTAATCTGTTCTCCTTCATTATGTTAATCTGTGGGCGGAAAGATTTCTGTCATCTTCAAATCGCTTGTACAGCAATGGTAAACACCTTGGCCTGTCTGTAATTGGACAGGTGTCTGCATTGGTGTCACCCGGCTTTTAATTCAATTAAAGAACTGGCTGCTCTGCTCTCATTACCCACTCATTTCCTCTGCACTTTCAGTCAGGCAGTGAAATTTACACTCAGTGCCTGACTATGTTAAAATACGAAGTCAGCAGTCCCATAGCAAAGATCACCACTGATACACGTGAATTAATTTATAGCACAGCAAAATAAATTTTGCACTAAAAAAATAGCCAATGATCCAATGAAGTTGGCTGACAGCTTTAAAAAACTTTCCCTAACTCCTCAATTATCACACTCTCAGACAGGCATCCCTTGTCTATACCAAATAATTGCTGATCTAACTCCATCAGGCTTCCAAAGATGGGATTCTAACAATATTTTGGCCACACTTCCATATATTCTATTAATGCTAACAGTAGAGAAGTAGATAAATTGTCACCTTGATCAGGAGACAGTTAGAGACCTCACCAATATTTAAGAGGGTCAGTCTCCCACATTTGAGATATGAGTCCCTTTCATTCAGCCTGCCACTACAGAGCAGCTGAATCTACCTAGACTCAAAATTTACATCACAGACTATGTTCAAAGCCTTAAAATCCACATGAGGAAGTAGAAATGCTGCATAATTCTAACACACCACTCCTATCTGCCCAAGGAACCTTTGGAAATAAATAAAGTTCTAACACAGACATTTTGACACAGTGACCCCGTGAAACTGAATAATCTCATTTGTTAAATATGAACATAAAGTTAATAGTCTAAAAGAGTGATCTGGAATCATACCTAGAACATTAAGCCTGCTTTATATGCAAACGTAGTATTTAATTCTCTATACTTTTATTTAAATGGTCTTCAATTATTTGCAATATTGAGAGTTGAAGTTTAGAGCTGGGTCAATGAGAAAACCCTAGGTTCATTCTAGAACATAAAAGATAATAACATGACATGGACAACAGAAAAGGGTCAACAATGAATTTATGGTAAAACAGATATGTGGACTAGTCAGTTAGTTGCATCTTTGCATCCACTCCATCATTCTAATGCATGCAGTATATTAGAAGATTAAATATCCAGCTTCTTCCCTCCACTTCTCCATAAAACAGACATTTCTTTTGTTCAGTACCTCTAAAAGGGAGATCTCATACATTTAGGCAGCACAACCAGATTCCACAGCATTCTAGCAGATTCTGAGTAGAAAAGTAGTACTTCTCATCAATGAAAAATAAAAAGAAAAAGGTTTACCACTAAGGTAGGAAGGCTAATATTCCTTTCACAAAAACTGCGAAATAGATTCAAAGGCAGTTACAGTACTACAGCAATTTCCTCTAGTTAAAAGAGTTTTATCACCACAGCTGCCCCACTGTTCCAATCTGTCATCCTACTGTTTCATGAAGTTGCTTCAAAACTCCACCAGGTCTTCAGAGATGAAAAGACACGCTTGCTTATGGCAACTTGTAGAGCTTCTATTCTGCATAATGAATCAGTTAATCAAATATAAATCAAGGTGGGGCTTTTAAAATATATTGATGGAGCCTTCCCATGAAAACAAAACCCTTCACCTACACAGACATCGCACACAAAAAAAAGCTACTTAATATTACAGATGTAACAGAAATACTAATGTTTTCCTCACTTCCAAAAAAAATGCATTCAGGTAAGATGGTGAAAGAGGACTACTTTGAAAGGCAACTTCAAATTTTTTTAGAGGTAAATTTAGCTAATTTGAATCATAACCAGGCATTACTTTCATATGCAACCCAAAAACTCAGCTTTGCTACTGGATACTAAGATTCCCAACTGAGCTTACCACACAAATCCCATTTGTTTCACAAGCTGAGTGTATTTTTTTGCCAAAGGGACCTCTCATTGCCAGATTTTTCCATTTTTTTCCTCCTTAACACTCTACTTCATAAGGACCTCTTTTGAAATTAGAATTGAAACAACGCTTGACTTTATAGATTTACCTTAATTCTTGTTTAAGCTTTAAAAACAAAAACTACCAAATCTGCCCTCCCCAAACCTAAAGACTATTTAGCTAACTTGAATGCCTGAGGTCATACAGCATCTGTCTAACAAAGTCACTTGTGTGTCGAGATGCATCATTGCCACAGTACACTTAATCACAGTCCACCGATCAGAAAAGGAAGTCCTTAACTGACTTTATGTTTTTGACAGATTGTAGCAAAACCTGTTTAAGTACATGTGTCTTCTACATATGCATTTCTGAACTGAAAGCCCATGCACATCAATCTGTCGCATACATCTGCATTTTTAAAGATCTTCTAACATAAGTATAGTATGAGT